AAAAAAAAAAAAAAAAAAAAAAGTGTTATTCTCATTAATGTCATCCCTGGTGGTACAAATGGGTAATACACTCGGCTGCTAACTGAAAGGTTGGGGGTTCAAGTCTGCCCAGAGGTGCCGCAGAAGAAAGGCCCGGCAATCTGGCAATCTACTTCCAAAAAAATCAGGCATTAAAAACCCATGGAGCACAGGTCCGCTCTGACACACATGGAGTCATCATGAGTTGGAATTAGCTCCACAGCAACTGGTTTTTAGGGTTCTTTTGTTTTTTCAATTTGCCATAAGGTGCATTTGCTAACAGCCTTTCTGATTCCTCATATTCCTTCCTGTGAAACTCTGAAGTACAGAAACATGACCAGAAGCACCAGAAGAGCCAAGAGCAGTGCACAGATACTACTGAGAGCAGCCATTCAAGGTCTGTGTCATTCAGAGAATGGGTCCCAGCTGTACACAAAAAAAAGGACACTAACTAGATTCTGAAGCAGTGTCAGGCTGTCGCTCCTCTTCCTGCTGTTGACCTGTGGCTTGGGAAGGATCATCCGAGACTCCAGCACACCTGCCTTCAATGAGGAAGGACCCATACAGATTAGGATCTTCCTTGCCTGGAATAAAGATGAAAGTGAGTGTGTATGTGGGAGGGCTACAGTTTGTCAGTGGCACACACCAGTCTGACCTTGTTCATCAACATAAGAATACAAAGGATACAAAAGCTGTAGCTGACTCTAGGCTCAAGCAAAAAGTCCGGACACCCCCACACACACACCCCAAAAGGTTTTGATTTGAAAAGAGGCTACCTCCATCTATCTCCCTCTCCCTGTCCCAAAATAAATCCTGGCTCTTCCCCCCCCCCCCATCAAAATTACCGTGAGTTTTCTCCTGTGGCTTCCAGCCAAACAAAAGACAGGTGTATAAGGTGAACATTTACATCAGGTAGACACTCCTTAGAGCAATAGATCAATCAATCAATAGTGGGAGAACAGAAGGGCAGTATTTGCAAAGTGAGATAGCTCTGGGGCAGGAATGCATAGGAAAGAAGGACAGGGGAAGAGGTAACTATAATGGAGGAAGTGGGAGGAGGGCTGTTACGTTGTGAGGACTGCAATCAATGTCATGAAGCAAAATGTGTATGAACTGCTCTGTATGGAAAATGAATTTGCTCTGTAAACTTTCACCCAAATCAAAATAAAAATTAAAAAATGTCACAGTGAGTTTTAAGTTCTACTAGACAAAGCTCCATATCCGTCCCTGCATCCACCCTCAGATGCCTAAAGAGCATCTTAGAAATTCATTTGCTGGGTCCTAGGAGTCTGGTAGCATAGTGGCTAAGACACTTGCCTGCTCACCAGAAGGCTGGCGGTTCAAACCCGCCAGCCACTCCTCGGAAGGAAGGTTGGGCAATCCTACTTCCGTAGTGATACTGCCTCGGAAACCCAAGGAGGGGTCGCTATGAGTCAGGGCTGACTC